TAGGTGAAGGGGATGTAACAAGGGGCTGTGGTTTAGAAGGGATGAGAGAAATCTGTAGTGCACTGGCCGCAAGGATGGTAGAGACAGAAAATCTCAAATTTGAGTCTTAAATGAGAACTTGCAATGTTTAAAGACTTTGAGCCAAGTGCTAAAAACAAAATTAGTGCAGATAGATCAGCGTAAACCTGATTGGCCAAAAAGGTTCTCTTCTGTGGCATATGATTCTATGGAAGTGAAAGCTCAATAGTTTGGACCCTGGTGATTGAGGGGATCATCCTATGAGGAGGCTGAATAAACTGGCTCAACATTTTCTGGAGTTGAGGACAGAGAAAAAGGTGATCTAATTTAAAAAAGGTACAAGATTCAGAATGAGCTTGATATATTCAAGCTAAAATAGGTTGCTTCTGCTGGGATGGAATGTGTTTTACATAGACTTTCAGCACAGACCAGTCAAGTTGGAATGGAAACAAAAAACACTTCAATGAAGAGTTGTGGACCTTTGGAATTCTCTACCCTGGAGGTGTGGTTGTTCCATTTTTATAAAATTGAAGACAGACATGTTTACTCAGGGAATCTGAAGATCAGTTATGATTATACAAAAAAGAGAAAGGAAAGGTTCAATTGCACAAATCTATTCTATTTCTCATGTTCCTGTATTAAAGACAGTTGCAACATTCCCATTGACTGAAATAGAACCAGAAATACAGGACAAGGCAGCCAGCATCTGGGGAGACAAAACAGAATTAATGTGGAATCCAATGACTCTTTTGCATGAGGAACTCATGGAATGAGATGTAGCTGGAGAGGCAGCCAGAAGACACCTTCCATAACTTCCTTTTGGCATCAGTGTTATCGAACTGCATTTGCTCAGTAATAACCTGCTCACTGTCACCAAGCAAGAGTCCCACTAGGGCCATTCAGATCCTGATAAAGTTTTGATTCAAGTGTGGACAAAAGAGTTGAATTCCAGAAATGAGGAGTGTGACATCTCTTGACATCAAGGCCACATCTAACTGAACACAATTCAGAAATCAATGCAAAGTCTGCAGGAAACCTTTTACTGGTTGAAGTCATACCTAGGACCAGGAATATAGTCTGACCTCCAGCCATCACATCTCAGCTGGAGTACTCAGGGTAGTTTTCTTCTAGTCTGTTATCCAGTCAACTTGTCTATACAGTCAAAGAGATAGACAACAGAAACAGACCCTTGGGTCCAATTCATTCTTGCCAACCAGATATCCTAAATTAATCTAGTCCCACCATTTACCACAAATCCCTCTTAAACCCTTCTTGTTCAAATACCATCCAGATGCCTTTTAAATGTTCTAAGTGTACTGGTCTCCACCACTTCCTCTGGCAGCTCATTCCACACATGCACCACCTTCTGCATGAAAACATTGCCCCTCAGGTCCTTTTAAAATCTTTCCCCCTCACCTTAAGTATATCCTCTCTAGTTCTGGACTCCTCACTCCAGGAAGAGACCTTGTCTATTCACCCTATCCATGTCCCCCATGATCTTAAATCTCTGGAAGGTCACCATTTCCTCACGTTTTATGCCTTCCATAACCCTCTATAGTACATGGATGCAAAATACTCAGTCTCCCCATCTCCTGTGGTTCCACACAGACAGCCTTGCTGATCTTTAAGGGGCCCTAATTTCCCTTAACATTTGTAGGATCCTTTGGATTCTCCATTAACCCTTCTTGCCAAAAGCCATCTTGTGTCCCTTTTCACCCTGAGTGCCCTCTTCAGTCTAAAGGCAGTAGGGTGTAGGTAATCCCAATTTCTACTGCCTATACCTGACCTATGCTCCTTTCTTACTCTTGACCAAAACCCCAATTTCTCTAATTATCAGGCTATCCTACACCATCAACCTCACCATTCACCTTAACAGGAAGGCAGGGTCTCTGGACCCACTCATTTTTGAAGGCTTCCATTTTCTAGCCATCCTTTTACCTGCAAACATCCACCCCCAAATCAACTTTTCAAAATTCTTGCCCAATAGTTCAAAATTGGCCTTCTAATTTTGAACTTTTAGATCTAGTCTATCCTTTTCCATCACTATTTAATAAAAAAAGCTTAGAACTACGGCCACTGACCCCAGTCACCCACCCTGCCTTATTTCCCCCAAGAGTAGGTTAAGTTTTGACCCTTTGCTAGTAGATACATCCACATACTGCATTAGAAAATTTTTGTACATTTATATTCTTCTCCAATCAAGCCCTTAACACTACAGCAGTCCCAGCCTGTTTGGAAAGTTAAAATCCCCTGCCATAACCACCCCATTATTCATACAGATGAGATCTCCTTGCAAATTTGTTTCTCAATTTCCTGCTAACTATTGGGATTGTATGACAAGACACCTAATAAAGGTGATCATCCTTTCTTATTTAGGTGGAACTGAGAAATAACTTCCCTGGACATATTCCCAAGAATATCCTAAGTACAGCAATAATGTTATGCTTATCAGAGACAACACTTCTACCCCACCCCCTTTCTATCCATCCTGTAGGATCTATACCCTGGAAGGGAGTGCCAGTCCTGTCCATCCCTGAGCCACATCTAATCGATTTTGTATCCTAGTCACATTCTGAACCATGCCCATGTTCATCTGCCTTACCTGTTCAGCTTCTTGCCTTGAAATAAATGCAGTTCAATCCATCAGTCCTATCTCATTTTCTACTTTGTTCTTGCCTAACCCACCTATTGACTTACTCCTTTTCCCAACTGTACCAGTCTCAAACTGATTTCTTTCCTCACCATGTCCCTGGGTCTCTTCCTCCCCCACTAGTTGCAATCCTCCCAATCAGCTCTAACCAATCTCCCTGCCAATTCAGGTACAATTTGTCCTTCTTATACACATCACTTCTACCCCAGAAGAGGAGATTCCAATGTTAAAAAAGGGTGATTCCTTCTCCTCCACACCAGCTCCTCAGCCATGCATTCATCCACTTTATTCTCCTATTCCAACTTCACTAGCTCATTAGCACCAGGAGTAATCCAGATGTTTCTGCCCTCAAGGACCTGCTTTCTAAATTCCTGCATAACTTCCTACATTCTCTCCTCAGGGAAAGCAAAGGATGTCTACGTCATGTGTTCCTATGTGTACAACTACTCCTGCTGGTCCCTCTCCCCTTGAGGATATTCTGTTCTGAAACATGCTTGAACCTGGCTCCAGGGAGGCAAAACACCACTGATATCTTGCTGTCAGCTCCAGAAGTGTCTGTGCCTCTGACTAGAGACAGTCCCCCATCACAAACATTTGGGACCTGGCATACCACTTGTTATGCAAGAGCCACATTTCAGTTAATGAGACTGAAAGTGCTACATTTCCCTGACAGTCCATCACCCCCTACATTTTCCAAATCAGCATACTGGTTTGAGATGGGAATTGCCATGGAAGACTCTGGCACAATTTATCTCCTTCCCTACCTTTTGTGGAGGTCACCCATCTACATGACTAACTTTAGTTTATCTCCATCCATCACACCCCCTAGCTCCTGTACTCCAGGGACATTAAATATACATTACTGTAGCAGGTAGGTCTGGAACCTAGGCCTCCTGGCTCAAAGGCAGGGGTACTAACATTGCACTACAGCCACTTGTGTCCCGGGCCTGACCATCTTCAGCTGCTTCAATGACCTTGCGTCCACTGCAAAGAGGTGGAAGTGGGGACATTTACTGATGCTTGCACAACATGTAGCACCATTCACACTTCAGATACTGAGGACATCCATGTCCAAATGCAGCAAGGTGTCAGGAAAACAACTTGTGAAAAGTTGCTTTTCTTACCTAGAGACATTCTAGCAATTGTCTCCAAATTGCTGGCAGCTTGATAGTGTATGTCAGTAAAGTACTGACCTCGTCAAGATATGCAACTCATTCTACATCACTCCAAATCACTGATGCCCAATTCACTCTTCACTACACCACAACTCCTGAATCAAAGTCAAAGTCACTACCTCCAACCAATGCACTCCAACACATCAGCTCCCATTAATCCCAGCTTTGGCTGGGAAGTGGCAAGTAATGTCCACACCACAAGTGCCAGACATTGACCATTGTCAAAGTGACATGACTATCACACCAGGACATCCAATGGTACTAACATCTCAAATTCCCCACTAACCACCATCTGGGAGTTACCATTAACCAGAAATGGAGCTACTAATATTATAGATAGTAACATGAATAAATACTTTGGATCAAATAGCAGTAGTAATACTGTGACAAGTAACCCACCTCCCTAACCCAAAGCTTGCCCACAATTGAGGTCAGGAGTGTGGATGAGTGCAGTTGCCAACACTTGAGACTTGACACCAAAATCAAAACAACCCACTTGATTGGCATATGCCAAGAAATATTCACTCCGTCCATCATAGATGCTCAGTGGCAGTGTTCCATCTACAAGATGCACTGCAGAAATTAAGGCTGCTTAAAATTTGTCCCCACCTCCTCCCTCACATCCCTTAACCATCTCCATTACTTTCAGCCCTCTCTCATCCTCATCTGTTATCCTATCATGAAACAGATACCCACCACATGTCTAGGAGATAGTAGGTAACTTCAGGGCTGAATTTTGAAATTTCAGCAATTTCTGAAGGGTCTAGGCCTGAAACATCAGCCTTCCTGCTCCTCTGATGCTGCTTGGCCTGCTGTTCATCCAGCTCTACACCTGGTTATCCCACCACATGTCTGCCACCTTGTATCCCCACCCAGCTATGCAACCCTAACCCATGACCTGCCCCTCCCCCCAACCATGTTCACTGGAGTCTCCTAGTGTACTCCATCCCTTTATGTACTCATCCCAATCACCTGCCTAGTCCCTTCTGCCTCCTTTCATTTTGTTCAAAGCTCCACTGAAAAGCAGACTACAGCACAAACTCATCTCCACAGATGTTGCCTGACCTGCACAAGTATTCACAACATCTACAAAAACTTTGTTTTTGTATTACTAAAACTGCTGAGTTAAATCAGGCACAAAACAATTCAATTCTCACCTCAAGCTCATTGAGTCGCTGTATTCTTGGTGTAAAGTGAAAGTTCTTCACCTCACAGGCAAATGGTGGCTGCCAGTCCTGAAAAAGAAATTGAAAGCTTTCATCTTAAGGTCTTCAATAAGTGAATTAAGAGCAGGACCAGAACATTCAGGCCCTTTCAGGAAAGAACTGGCTGATCAGACCATTTCAAATCAGCATTCCCACCTATGCCAGATAGTCTTTCATCACCCTTTTGCCTTGCAAAGATTACCTACCTGATTCTGTTTCAGCCACCTTTGAGAGAGAGTGCCAATGATAACCCTCTGAAAGAAAAGATCTTGTTGTCTATTTTTAATGAGTGATCCTTCATTTCAAATGAGTGACCCTAATTCTATATTGAGACATTTTTGCCAGAGGATGTCATGTTTCGATCAAGTCCTCTTACTCCTTTGAAGTCCAGTAATACAGGGGCTAGCATTTTCAGCCTTCTCAAGACAACCTCACTTATTCTGAGAGCAATCCCAGTCTATCCAACCTTTTCGTAAACTCTCCAACCCAGGCAACATCCTGGGCCATTGCCTCTGCATCCACTTTGGTGCTATCACATGCCTCAAATATTGATTGCAGAACTGCACATGATACTCTAGCTGTGGCCTAGCAACCTTTGACACTAGGGTAACTGGCTTGTAGCTTCTGATTTTGTTGCTTGCTTCTGACTAATGGTACCTGCACAGGTTATCTTGTCCTCCAGGACCACTCCTGTGGCCAGAGAGGAGTTACATTGTAAATGTGCCTGCTATTTCAACACTTTCCTTGCTCAACACAATTTAAGCCTGCCAGACCACTCAACCACCTATCAATGCTAATTTCTTGAATTGCATTATTGGCCTCCTCCCTGATTTCTTATACCCATATGATTCCTCTCACCAGTGAGCAATGACACAATGCATTCAGTTAGAACATGAACCACAGCCTTTGGCTATGCACTAATTACTAGTGCGCTTAGTAATGGGCCCTACTCTTTGCATTATCCTTTCATCCTTAAGTGTACAGTAATTTCTCCATATCCACAAGTGTTCCATTGCTAAGAACTCAAAATTAGTAGGTAGAGCTAATTTAAAATGACTTAAAACCAGATGTGATTTTTGCCTGCAAATGTTGACTTTTGCTTTTGTTTTAAAAAGCCAGGCAAGTTTGCAATTCACAATTTCGTGGATACCAAGGATTTATTGTACTGCTAAGTCAATTTGGATTTTCCTTTTTAATCTACCAGTATCCCTTCATGCCCCTTTTCTGCTCTCCCAACTTCCCTTTGAAGTTTGCTGTTGCACATTCCATATTCCAAGGGCTTCTATGGTCTTCAGCCCTCAGTATCTGCCATAAGCCTCCCTCTTATCTAATCTTCAGTCCCTTAAAAAGAAAAGAGCTGGGAATAAACTGCTATGCTGCCAGATCTGTTGCGTTTCAGTTCTAGCCCTAGCCACCCTTCAGAACCCTGTTATGTCCTTCATATCTAGGCTCCACAGGACTTGTTAACACCCTTTGCCCCTATTGGAAGATGTTAACTCTACTTCCCCATTTCCATCTTGAATGCATCTGACAGTTGAGACAGATCTACCTGGAAATATCTGCTCCTAGTCCACTTTGGCCAAATCATATCTGATCTTATTAAAATCAGCCTTCCCAGTTTTGATCTTGGATTTCAGGCCCATCCTTGTCCTTTTCTACAACAACCCTGAATCTAAGTGTTTTACTATCTGTAAAACACTCCCCCAATGACACTTCAATCCATTGTCTAGATTCACCACATCAAATAAAGTCACATAGGGCCTATAAAACTGTCCTGATTTAAGAATTCCATTTAGTCTATACCTTTCACATTACAACTCTAGTTGGTGTTTTTCACCCTTCAACTAAGGGAGAAGCTGCTTTGACTTGCCCATACCCTCAATCTTATAACTTCTCAGATCAGAGAAAGTGTGGCTGGGGTGGGAAGAGAACTTGAAGGTGGTGTGCCCACGTATCTGCTGCCATTATTCTAAATGGAAGCTGGAATATTTGAAAGACGGAGGATCTTTGTTGAATTTTGGCAGTGCATCTTGTAGGTTGAGACTCAGTAGCAGCAGTGTGTTCTGTGGTGGTGGTTGTGGTTGGAAGAGAAAGAAAAAAAGTGGCTGCTTGATGAATGAAGCCACTTCAAACTGACTGCTCTGCCCTGGATGGTATCAACATTGGATGGGTGCAGCTCCAAAAACATCCAGAGACAGTATTATATCACACTCCTGACTTGTACTTTTAGTAATGTAAAACCATTGAATGTCAAGGGGCAGTGCTCAAATTGCCTGGCATTTGTGTGGCTTGAATGTTACTTGCTACGATGTCTAGATATTGTCCAAATCTATTTGCATTTGAATATGGACTGCTTCAGCATCTCAGAGTCCTCAGACTTGTTCACCAACCACTGCACATCACCACTTCTGACCTTATGGAGGGAAGGTAGAAAGAAAGTTTAAGAAAGGAGATCAAGGGGCATGGGCTTTTTGTTTCAAAACAAGAACAAGTCTTTGGTGCCTGAAACATTCAGGGAAAGTGGCAGAAGTGAATACAAAGTTTAAAGAATCAGACAGATACACAAGCAGGCAAGGAATTGAGGGATATGACCCACATGCAGACTGATGGCATTAGTTTAGAATGGCATCATGGTAGCCCTAGACATGGTGCACCCTGAGTATTCAACAGCAACTCTGGACCCCATCAAGTCTTACTTGCACCTCAAAAAAAGAAGAAACCTCTTGCCAGACTATTTCCCCACCACCAACTGGTTTAAAAAAGACTATTCATGTCAAATGCTGCTTGCATGAGACACTAATGGCTAAGTTACAGAATATACCTTGGGTGGTGAACTCCAAGTGACAGATTACCAAGAGTGACTCAGAAGCACCCACAACTAAACCAAGTCCACCAAGCTTCACTGCTGTTCAAATCAGGGAGCCTGCAGCCATTTGGACTCAGTTCAGTGGCCCGAGCACCTTCTTCCATGTCCTTCCACCATTCCCACACACTAGGCCTTATCATATGGGCAGGGGCCTCTCTCTGGGCTCAGCTTCTACCTATCCCTCATTTCATTCTGCTCCCCATCCTGGGTCTTCAGCATAAGTACCAAATCTTTAAGCTGTACAGTCAGTCCTAGAGAAGGGTCACTGCACCCAGAACATTCTCTCCCCAGATGCTGCTGAGTTTCTCCAGCCATTTGTTTTTGCTTGAGATTATGGTAATTAGTATTTCCTCCTAGAGTTCATCAATCCTTTGAGGCCTTAAAGTCCAGCAGTCTTCATTTAAGAGTCAGATGTACAGCATTTAACAGACCCTTTAGTCCAGCTCATCCATGCTGAGCAGGTACTCTACATTAATGTAGCCCCATTTGCCTAGATTTGGCCCCATTCCCATACGCATCCAGACCATTAAAGAAAGTTGCAATTGTAATCTGGCATCTTATTACATAAACATACCACCCTCTGAAAAGTTTCCCCTCAGGTCCCTTTCAAATCTTTCCTCTCACATTAAACCTATGCCCTCTAGTTTTGGACTCCCACACCTTGGCAAAAGGTGCTTGTCTATTCACCCTAGCCATGTCCCTTGTGATCTTACAAGCTTCTATAAAGGTCACCCATTAGTGTTCAGCACTTGAGGGAAAATAGCCCTAACCTACTCAGCTGGTCCCTAGGACTCAAACCCTCCAATCCTGGCAAAAATCTTTGCAAATCTTTTCTGAAAGAAAAAAGGTCTCAACATCCATATAGGATGGCAACCAAAACTGAATACAGTATTCCAGAGGCAGCCTAACCAAAGTCTTGTACAGTTGCGGCATGACCTCCCAACTCCTATGCTCAATGAGCTGATGTCTACCTGTGACCCTGGTTCTGAGGAACTAGGAACCTGAACCCAAGGTCTTGTTTGGTAACACTCAACCTACCATTAAGTCATGCCCTGGATTTGCCCTACCAAATTGCAGCACCTCAAATTAAAACTTCATCTGCCACTCTTCATCCCACTCGAGTATCTGATCAAGGTCTCATTGTACTCAACTTTCAATGTCCACTGCACCATTTGTGTCATGTGCAAGCTTACTAACTTTAACTCCCATATTCACATTCAAATCATAAAAAAGTGACAGATGTCCTAGAATGCATATTTTTCCAAGTCAACTGCTTTCAACAATGAAGACTTCTCCACATTCATACCTATGATTTACTTTTCTAGAAATGACTCTGCATAATCTCAACACTGGCCTGCACTAAGCATTTTAAAATGCTTCTTCAAACTATATTGTTTGAAACCAGTAGAACCATCACAGGGCAACCTGTTGCTGCTTCTTCCTATCCCAACTCTTTTCAGGTCCTCAAAGCTTAACAGCTTCTCCTAGTCAAGGGAGAAGCTGATCAGTGTTTGTTATGCAGATTCTCAAATCTATAATGCCAGCATTCATTCTGGTTGAAGGGAAGAGAGTGACAGCCCTTGACATCAAGACCACATTTGACAGACAATGCAGTATCACTGACTCCTAGCAAAGCTGGAGTCAAATGGGAATCAAGACAAAACTACTGATTTCACCATCTAACTCCCCTATCAACATCATGGGGTTCTCATTTGACCATAAAAAGTGAACTAGCCATACAAACATTGGCTATAACAGGCCAGAGGCCAGCAAGTAACTTACTTCTTGACTCCAAAGCCTGTGCCTTGTAGATGGCAGACAAATCAGGATTGTGATGGAATAGTTGTCACTAACATCAGTGAGTGCAACTCCAACACAAGCATTTTGACACCATCCACTGCAAACCAGCCTGCTTGACTGGCATCACATCTACTCCTCCACCACCAACTCAGTAGCAACAGGATATACCATCTTGAGATGCACTGCATAAATTCACCAAAGATCCTTAGACACCACCTTAAACCCATGACCACTTCCATCCAGAAGGACAAGGGCAACAGACACATGGGAAACACCATCTGCAAGATCCCCTCCCAAGCCACCTCACTTTCCCAACTTGGAAATATTGCCATTCCTTTACTGCTATTGGGTCAAAATCCTGACTCAGCTACTTAATGGCATTGTGGCCAATTTACAGCACAAGGACTGCAGTGATTCAAGGTGGCAACTTCTAAAGGGGAAGTAGGGTTGAGCATCCACAAGTGCTGGCCCAGCAATATGTCACCTACATCTCAAGTGGAAAATATGTTTGCCATTTAGCATAACCCAAGAGTTACAAACTCCAAGGAAACTAAAGAAAGAGGCCCTGTTCCTTGATTTGAAGGCTCAATAACACCAGGAGGGGGACAGATTTCAGATAAGAGGTAGCTGGTTTAGAAGGATAAAGGGATCTACAGCTCTGCACCTGAAATCTGGTTAGGACAGAAACCCTCAATGTTCTAGTAGTCTCCAAATCACCTGAAGTGCTGCAACTCCAGTCAGAGGGCCAAGCACTAGAAAATGGAATTAGATTGAATGGCCTCCTTTCAGATTATATTCGCCTACATGTTATGAGTTCAGTTCCCCAGACTAGTGGGATGCATTGCTTCACTCAAGGCATGAGCAGGTGAAAAATCAGAGCTGGGTCAGTTTTACATGGCTTCTTGCTTCAAGTTTCTGATCTACAAAGACCAAATACCACCCCTCCCACCCCATTTTATAGTGTGAATGAAAAATTAAGACAATAAACATCCCTTGGCTTTACAGGAGGCAGAGTACAAAAAGTAAAGACATTTGAGTTACAAGTCACTAGACAACTTGCCAAGGCTTCCTTCAATCCTGCAAGTCCAACAGCAAAGAACAGTGCACAAGTCCAACACTACCTTTCCAAGCCACATACCTTTGTCTTGGAAATACAATCAATCCTTCATTTCTGGAACTCCCAGCCTTATAGCACAATACCCTCACCATATGTACTGCAGCATTTCAACAAGCCAGCTCATCACCGCAAAGGAAATTACAGATGTCAACAAATACTAGCCGAGTTAATAATGCAGACATCAAATGATGAAGTAAATAAATAAAGCAGGTCCCTATAATCAACAAGTCAAGCTTTCTGCAGGGGTTGGGGGGCGGGAGGTGGGAGAAGAAGGATTTAAATTCAATAAAATATCTGAAATTAAGAATCTAAATGACAATCATGAACCCATTGTCAGGAAAAAACTAATGGGTTCACTAATGCCATCCTTCCCTGGTCTCGCCAACATGTGACTCCAGACACACAGCAATGTGGTCGACTCACCTGCCCTCTGGACAATAAATGCTGCCTGATCGGCGACACCTTCATCCAGTGAATAAATAAAGTGAATCAAGGACTTTTCCAGGTACATCATGAAGGACTTCAGTTTATGTAGAGAAGTTATAAGAAGCTTTGTAGCAACAGAGTTTAGGGGACAATTTAACCAGGGTGTTAAAACTGAGAGGTTGCATAACTAAAAGGCTAAACTATTTATATTTCAATGACAGGAGTATCAGCAACCAAGATGCCAGACTTTAAAGAATCCCACATAAGATCCAGTGGAAAGATTTTTCTTACACACCAGTGATGGCAAACTGGTAAGAACTAGTTGATATTCAGGAGTAGCAGGAAGAAATAACTTTGAGGACTGGATAAACATTAGAAACAGAACAATCAGGGCTATGATAAAAAAAGTTGAATTATTGGGGAGGTGGCAGCCTACCAGTAGTATCATTGGGCTATTAATCCAGGGACCCAGGTAACATTCTGGGGGACCTGAGTTTAAATCCCACCACAGCATAAAGTGGAATTTGAAATTAAAAAATCTGGAATTGCAAATCTAATTACAACCACAAACCCATTGCTAGTTGCCAGATAAACTCATATCGTTCACTTACCTGGTTAGGCCTACGTCTGACTCCAGACCCACAATAATGTGGCTGACTCTTGTGATCTCTGTTCAATAAGTGTTAGTCTAGCCAGCAGTACCCTCATCCCGTGGATGAGAAACCCAAGTGAACAGCAGAAATAGCCAGATTTCCACCGGGGGTGGGGGCGAAACTGTCGGATTGAGGAGGCAGAATTGATTAATTTTATTTAAAATTGACTCAACCCAAGGCTGAGAACTCTATGGTAGGTGCCCAGCACCAGTTTCTCGCCAGATAGACTGCCCCGGTTCCTGGACCAGCTGCGATCAGGATTGGTCTCCTTGTTGTCTGTGAGGAGGAGAGGCCACTAAGTTGGATCCCAGCCTCCTGCTTCCACACCATGGGGAGCTGTCCTCCTACCCCGCCGACGGCCTCTTAAGTGGCTACAGGCCGAGAGCAGCCCTGGCCAGTTACTGTCGATACGGGGTGGGAAGACAGGGTTTTTTTTTACCTTGGGCGGGCGGATCTTGCAGATGCCGCTCCTCTGAGCGATGGGTCGGATCTTGTTGATGTACCCGAGCGGCTCCCGGAACTCTTCCCGGCTCGGCTCGAATACCGGGCACTCAGGCGGCGGGATGAACTCCGAGAATATCCACATGATGGCGGCAGCAGCGGCGGGCAATCTCCGAGACAAAGGGAGGCCAGGGCTCCGGGCTCTAACCCCGGAGAGGTCCCTCGGCGCCAGACCGCGGCCTGGGCCTTGGCGACACCCAAGAACGCGCTGACCGCTGCAGCTCAGTGCGAGCCCGGCCCCCGCTGCAGGGACAGGAGCCTCACTCACACACAGAGAACCACCTCGGCCCGGTCCCTGAGGATGAGGGGGGGGTGGTCCCGAGCGGCCCCGGGAGGTATCGGTGGCTCGGGCGGGGGGTGTGAAAGGTGAACAGAGGCGCGCTACTGTCCTCAGGCACGCGCACCACTTCCGCTCGCGGGTTGCATAGCAAGATTCCACACACACTTGTTTTTAAAGGGCACATCGATCCGTTGATTGGCTGTGGCGGCAAAGCGGCTGCAGTATTATTGGATATAGCACCGCCAGCGGCCCTTGATCAATTACTATTGGTTGTTAGGACAGAGTCCCAGCTTCTGATTGGCTGAGGGTCACCGTCCCTGAAGCCTGGGCCAGCAGGTCACAAGGTCCTTGGCTCCGGAACGAAAACAGAAAATGGTGCAGCTTGTGAGTAGAGAGAAACCGAATGAACAAACCCGAGTCCAATCGCTCTTTTTCAGGGCTTTACTTTCTTAAGTGTTTATCCAATTCTCTGTCGACAATTGGAATATAATTTATTCAAACATCTATTCGAATGGCGCCTTCGGATTATATATAAAACAGGCCAATCAGTTCCAATCAAGGCTATCCTTCCCCCTTCAAGTGTTTGTCGAGCTTTCCGTTTATCACATCTAATCACTCATTTTAATCACTTCCCGCGGTACCAAAATCCACATTCTCAACACTTTCTGGATAAAGACTTTGCTGAACTGATGACTTAAATTGATGGTTCCTAGAGTTAACATTTCAAGTCCAGCGACCCTTCTTCGGAACTGTTAGAAGCTGGGAAAAGGTGCCATATATGCTGAAGACGAAGGGAGGGAAGTGTGTTGGACAAAACTAAGGGCTCTGTCAACCATGGTGATTGGGAATTCTTGGTTGAGGGAAAATGTGAATATTATGAGGTCCCTCTGCAGAAGGTGACATCATCAGAACAGCCGCGACAGAGATGGAGAACAGGACCTTTAGCCCTGTTTAACTCATTTCCCACACTTCTGCCCTCGTCTCTACTCTCTCCTCCCACCAAAAGGGTCTCCCTTCCTCACCCACCAGTGTCTGCAACCAAAGGATCATAAGCCGCCATTTCTGCTACCTCCAGTGGGATGCTACCACCAGACACATATTTGTCTCCTCTCTGTTGTCAGCATTTCACAGGAAATGTTCCCTCTGGGACACTTTGGTTCAGTCTTCTATTCCCAACACCTTCCTGCACCCCCACAGCATCTTCCCATACAATGACAGAAAGTACAACACTTGCCTGTTTACTTTCTCCCTCCTCACTATCCAAAGCTCCAGACACACCTTTCAGGTGAAGCAGCGATTTACATGCACTTTATCCAATCTAGTCTCCTGTATTCGCGGCTCACATTGTGGGGAGGTGAAACACAGACTGGGTAAGCACTTTGCTGTCTGTAAAAATGACACCGAGCTTCCAGTTGCCTGCCACTTCAACACACCACCTGTTCCCTGGTCAACATTTCTGTCTCAGGCTCACTGCAGTGCTCCAGCGAGTCTCAGCACAAGCTGGAAGAACAGCATGTCATTTTCCACTTGGGCACCCTGTAGTCTGCAGGAGTCAATATCAAGTTGAAGAATTTTAGAACCCTGAACACCTCCTTCCAAATTCTTTAACCACTCACACCACAGGTTCTGTCATGACCACAGACGGACTTCAGCATAGTCAATTAATTTCCCCCATTTATGGTCCGCACTATCAGATTTTTCTCCTTCATCCATCCCTTTATCTACCTAAATTTGTTTCTCTCCCTCTGGACTCTGTCTCCACCTATCTGCTTACTGTCCCATTCCACACTGTGTCTTCAGCATATATATCACATTTTCCTAGTTACTATCAGCTCTGAAGAAGGGTCACTGGACCCGAAATATTGGCTCTGTTTTCTCTCCACTAATGCTTCCAGAACTGAAATTTCTGTTTTTGTTTCAGATCTTCAGCTCTTCATTTTAATTTATCCATCTATTCTAATTTTATTTTCAGGCACTTGGACCATAGCATTGTACCCTTTTCACTGGGGAAATGATTTTGGAGATAATCCCTGCTGCACATACTTTCAAACAACTTGTTCACAGATGTTACTACACATATCTAGAGCAGGTTCAACTTGAACTCAGGTCTCTTAGCCCAGAAGTAGTGACAGTACCACTGTACCACAAGAACCCCTATAAAGTCTTGATGAAGGGTCCCAAACCGAAACGTTGATGGTGCTGTATTCCTCCAGCTCCACACTGTATTGACTCTGACTCCAGCATCTGCAGTTCTTGCTATCTCCCAGCTTATCAAGTCTCTTTTTATAACTGAATCGGCCAAGCCCAGGGTACAGCATGGTAAATAAAGGCAAAATACAGCATATGCTGTAAATCTTAAAAAAAACAGAAAGAATGTTGGATAAACTCAACAACTCTGACAACATCTGTGGAGAGAAACAGAGAATTAACATTTTGAGTCTGGCATGACTTCTTCAGAACCCTTCTTCAGAACAACCTGGTCAATCCTGTGCTTCCCATAATATGACGACCAGAACTGCACATAGTAGTCCAACTGTTGCTGAAATAATATTAAATACAGTTTCAGTATCACCTCCTTGCTCTTGTATTCGTTGGTTTGGTTAATAAAGGCAAATATTCCATATGCCTTCTTAACCACCTTATCAACCTGCCCAGTTACCTTCAAGGATCAATGGACATCTACAGCAAGATAACTCTGATCCTCTGTATGTCCTAGAATCCTACCATTCTCCAAGCTTTGCCTTACTAGTCCTTCCAAAATGCATCACCTCACACTTTTCCGGATTAAACTTAACTTGCCACTGTTCAGTCTATCTATATCATTCTGTAGTCTAAGACTTTCCTCCTTGCTACTTACAACGTCATCAATTTTCATGTCATCTACTGATCATACCTTTGCGTTTAGGTCTAGATCATTAATGTGCATGGTAGACAGCAAAGGACCCAGCACCAAACCCTGTGATATGCTACTGGACAAAGGTTTCCAGTCACAAAAGTACCCTTCAACCGCTATTCTCTGCTTCCTGCCCCTAAGCCAGTTTTGGATTCAAATTGCCAAATTCCCCTGGATCCCATGGGCTTGTAGCTCTTTAACCACTCTGCCATGAGAGACCTTGCCAAAAGTTACTGAAGCCCATATGGGTAAAGGCAAAGTCACTATAGTCCCATAGGGCTGCTCTGTCTTTAGAGAGAGACAACTGGTGGTGAGTTTAATCTGAGGGTCACCACATTCTGGGAAGGGTGAGCTTGAAAAGAAATGATCTTCATGTTGACCTCAACCAGTACAGGAATTGAACCCACATGATTAGCGTTACTGTGCATCACAAACTATGCCATCAACTGAACCTAACCGACTTCGTGAAGTCCACAAAGACTAGAACATAGAATTATTCAGTACATGAACAGGCCCTTCAGCCTACGATATTGTGCCCAATAAGACGCCAAATTAAACTAATCCTTCTGTCTGCCTTTTGTCTGTATCCGTCCATTTGTTGTCTATCTAAAAGCCCCTTAAATGCCCCTATCATATCTGCCTCCACCACCACACCTAGCAATTCATTCCAAACTTCCAACACACTTTGTGTAAAAAATTTGCCACTCACATATCCTTTGAACTTTCCCCCCTCACCTTAAACGCATGCCCCCGGTATTAGACATTTCAATTCTGGGAAAAAGATTCTGCTTGTCAACCCTATCTATGCATTTCATATTTATAGACTTCTATCAAGTCTCCCCTCAACCTCCGCCACTCCAGAGAAAACAACCCAAGTTTTTCTAGCTTCTCCTGATAGCTCAGACCCTTTAATCGAGGCAGCATCCTGGTAAACCTCTTCTGCACCCTGTCCAAAGCCTCCACATCCTTCCTGTAATGTGGCAATCAGAATTGAATGCAATACTCTAAGTGTGGCCTAACCAAAGTATTATAAAGCTGCAACATGATATCCTGACTCATGTATTCAGTTCCCTGGCCACTAAAGGCAAGCATGCGATATGCCTTCTTTACCACTCTATCTATCTGCATGGCCACTTTCAGAGAGCTGTGAACTTGAACCCCAAGATCCCTCTGTACATCACTGCTGTTCAGGGTCCTGCCATTATGATAATGAGAAGACAGACAGTCAATACAGGACAGAAGGTGTTGGATCTGAATGCATACAATACACAAAATAAGGTAAATGAGTTTGTGGCGCAGATCAAAATTGGCAGGTATGATGTGGTGGGCATCACAGAGACTTGGCTGCAAGGGGATTAGGACTGGGAGCAAAATATCTAAGGATATACATACTGTTGAAAAGACAGGCAGGTGAGCAGAGAGGGGTGGAGTTGCCTTATTAGTAAGAAATGAAATTAAATCAATAGCAAGAAACAAAGTAGGGTCAGATGATGTAGAATCTGTGTGGGTGGAGTTGAGGAACCGCAATGATAAAAAAAAGTTGGAATTATGTACAGTCATTTAAACAGTAGTCAGGATTTGGGGCATAAGTTACACCGGGAGATAGAAAAGCGTGTAAGAAAGGCAAGGTTACAGTGATCATGGGGGATTTCAATATGCAGGTGGACTGGGAAAATCAGGTTGGTAGTGGATCACAAGAAAAGGAATTTGTGGAATGTCTGCAAGATTGCTTTTGGAGCACTTTGTGGTGGAGCCCATTAGGGAACAGGCAATTCTGGATTTCGTGTTGGCAGACTTGATAAGGGAGCTTAAGGTGAAGGAACCCTTAGGAGGCAGTCACCATAATATGATAGAATTTACTCTGCAATTTGAGTGGGAGAAGATGGAATCAGATGTAATGGTACTATGGTTGAATAAAGGCAACTACAGAGGCATGAGGGAAGAGCTGAACAGAATTGATTGGGAGAGGAGCCTAGCAGGAAAGACAGTGGAACAGCAATGGTAGGAGTTTCTGGGAGTAATTTGGGAGACACAGCAAAAATTCAACCCTTGGAAAAAAAACATGCAGGGAAGATGAAGCAACCATGGCTGACAAGGGAAATCAGGGACAGCGTAAAAGCAAAAGTGAAAGCATATAATGCAGCAAAGGACAGTGGGAAGCCAGAGAATTGGGAAGCCTACAAAGACCTACAGAGGACAATGAGAAAAGAAATATGGAGGGGGAAGATTAACTATGAGGGTAAGCTAGCTGATAATAAAGAAGAAGATAGCAAGCGTTTCTTCAGATATATAAAGGGCAAAGGAGATGCAAAAGTAGACATTGGGCTGCTGGAAAATGACACTGGAGATGTAGTAATGGGGAACAAAGAAATTGCTGAGGAACTGAATAAGTACTTTACATCAGTCATCACAGTGGAAGACATGAGTAATATCCCAAAAATTCAAAACAGTCTGGGCGCAGAGGTGAGTATGATGGCCATCACCAAGGAGA